CATCAGCAGACTCCCCCTCTCCTTCTCCTTCTGCTAGTTCAGCTAACTTCCTCATAGCATCATACACCTCTTGCGGTTTATAATAAATGAACTCAACCTGTTTAAGAGCCACTTTCGCGGCAGCCCTAGTGTCCCCCACGCGAACTAAATAATCTTGGACATTTTGAGCAAGAACCAAGAACAATGGCTCATCCCTCAGCCTCTCAACATATTCACGAGTGTGTGGATCAATAACCTGCAAGCTCTTAAAAAATTCAACATCTATCTTTTCAACATAGGCTACCAAGTTCCCCCAGATCCTTATTGTCCCTGTGTAGTCTGATCCCTTCTGGGTTTCATTCTCATCAGGCTCAACCATGTCATCAACTACAATATTAGGGTATTGGGTCAACATGTCAAGTATGGTGAGCACATTCTGCACGCACTTTTTCCATACGTTTACCGGCATGTGCCCACTGAGACTTGGATTAACATCAAACTGGGCAGAGACAACACTGAAAAGAATTTCAAGTTTCTGAGCTGGGGTTTTGGCCACCTTGGTCAAGAAGGTGAGCTGTTCAACCAATTCGATCCTTCCAGTTCCCTTCCTACCCCTAGAAGCAACAATTTCCTTAAACTTCTTGTCGACTATATCCCACGTGATTTGACTTGGGTCCTTGAACTGTTTATCCATTAGTTTGTCTTTCTTGTTCAGTATAATCTCCCACTCATTTACTGGATCGGGACCTCTATTAGGGTCATCGTCGGATGCATATGCAATCTTTGTAGGGTCCTCCTCAAAGTCCTCTTCCTCCTCATCCTCTTCCGACTCTTCATCATCCCCACCTTCATCCTCACTAACAGGAGGATTCTCCCTATATTTGTTGATCAACTCTTCATACTGTTTATTATTTTTTTTGAGCTTTTGTTTCATTGAATTCAAGGCTTTGGCATTGCTACTACTCATCTTCTTCTTTGCCTCTTTATTGGCCAAAGCCTGAGTCAAAAAGTCCTCCAGTATCACTAGAGATTTGATGTACAGATTAGGAGCTCTAGCTGCCTCTGTAATGCGCATGACCTTCTCCAGTTGCTTATTGATCTTGTCGAAGGTCTCTTGAAGACTGACCCAGTCATTGATTTTCATGGCATTCTTCATCTGATCAACTGTAGCAGACAATTCATCAAAGCGCTTGTCCTTGGCTGACCGGACAACACGCTTCTGCCCATCTGACTCGTCACTATCACTATCATCAGCTGCAAGATACCTCGATCCACCATCTGTTTTGGTGGTCTCAGCTGGTTCATCATCCTGCTGCTCATAATCACTCTCTTCCTCCTCCTCAGTCTCACTGTCACCCTGTTAAAACCGTGAAAATTAGAGATCGGGTTTCACCAACTTAAAGGGTCAGTTTATGAAGAATGGAGCACGCATATGTCAAAGATAAAGACTTAACATTTACAATAAATTGAAGCACCCCAATTTCAAGGCTCCTAAGACTTCCTTTCAGAGTAGTATATATAATTTCAATTATATAAGTGGTGTTTGGTATGGAGGAAGAATTCTACAAAACAAGTTTTTTTCTTGAAACATTCAGTGTTAGAAATATAAAAAACAAACATACTGCAATTGTATAAGGTGAGTAGAGCATATAATAAAAGAATTAGAGTTTTGGTGATATTCTTGAATATTAAGGGTTGACAAAGTTTCAATTTGAAACATAAAATATTAAGTAAGAGTTGTGATATTTGTAAAGAACAATGGCTTCCGCGTCTTATGTTGTTTTAGGAAAAAAAAAATGGCTTCCCTGTTCACCTTACATAATTCATTCTCCCACTTCCAGTGAGGAGTACTTCCAACCTTTTTTAATAGTTCACGACAATTAAACAATGAGCAAATACTTTCATCAAATTGAATGAATTTAAACATGTTCGATCAATACCAAACACACACTATATCCCCATCATAAAGGATTTTTTTTTCATAATAATTTATTTCAGAAAAAGTTTATCTAATACAGACGAAACATTATCACTATAACTTGATGGTCCATAAAGTCATAAAACATCTTCTATACTTCAATAAAAAAAACGGAACAAATACAAATAAGATATTTACTCTTAACAGAGAAAACATTCGAAAATCTAACGCCTCTTAATGTTATAAGCAAATTTTGAAAAGATAAATCAATTACCTGAGTCCAAAAACGCGAAGCCATCTTCTTCAGCAATAAATTCTTACGATAGCAGAGGTATGAAAAACTGCATTCCACAAATCCAAATCCAAATCCAAATAAGAATTATGTATAAAGTAAATCCACCACGAAAAAACATACATCAAATTGAATTATAAACGAAAAAAGAAGAAGAAACAGATCGAACCTGCAGGTTAAGATGAATTTTACAAAACGATCGCTGAGAAGAGAGCCAAAATACTGAAGTTGGATGGGAGTTTCCGATTTGAAACCCTAAGGAACCTGTTACGATGAATATTAGTTTTGGAAGGGCCGTTATATTGGACTGGAATCGACTTATGGAGATTATAAAAGCTTGGGCCAACTAGTATTAGGCCCAAAGCTTCTTTCTTGAGTACTGCTCTTTTAATTCCTTTTGAGATAATAAATTAGTGTAAATTTCATATATGACATATATTATAGTATTATTTTCAAGCTATAGCAGTAGATTTAGACTTTCAAGCTATAACAATAAAAATTTCAGGTTATAACAAGTTAAAAAAAAAAAAAAATTTATTAATTGGAAAAAACTTAAAAAATAAATAAAAAGACAAACGAAAATTTAAAAAAAAACGAAATTAGAAATAATAAAGTAAAAAACTAAAATTGTGGGCTGTAATTTCATTTGAATTTATTGTAGATAATTAATGATTAGCATGAACTAAGGGATCCAAACTAATTAAGAATATTCTGTTTCCTTAATTCACTCTAATTTGTTAAAATTAATTCAAAAATCTGATTTTATCCATTTTTCTTCCACATTTCTCTCTCTTCAATTTTCTTCCAGAAATATTTTCACAGGTGACTAATTGAAGTTTTTTTTGTTTGAAAAATTCTGATTTTTTTTGTGATGGACAACTACGTATCAATATTAATTAAACATGGCGGAAGATGGGATCCTTCAGGTTAGTATTTTTAATTGTTTACTATTTGTATTTGGATTTCAGTGAAATGAAAAAAAATGAAACTGTAAATCATATTTTGTGATTTTGTTTTTGTACATCGTCACTGTATTGAATGTGATATGTTTTTTTGTATAAACAATACGTTTTGTTCATAATACGTATTAGTTGTTGTGAAACTGTAATATTAGTGATTTTCTTGGTAAGTTTCTGTTTTTTTTGTGAAACTGTAATATTAGTGATTTTCTTGGTAAGTTTCTATTTTTTGGTAGGGGTTTAATGTCACCATATTTTTTATTTTTTGGTTATTTTTTATATTGATAAAACAATGATTTCGTGAAAATTTACCGTAATATATGAAAGATTTGAGTATAAATGTACAACATATAAATATTTTTATCGTTGTAGATTGGGTACGTAGATTAAAATTATAATATTGATTACCATTTTTTTTCCTGAAAAAATAAATTAAAATGTATAGTTTTGAATGAATTTGTTAGTATAAGTGTAATGAATTTGGTATGAAAGTGTATTCACTAATGTGAAAAAAAGGTTATTTAGAATTTTGAAGAATTGTATGACAGTTGTTTTAGGTTGGTATGAAAGTGTGTTAACTAATTAGTAAAAAAGGTTATTTAGAATTTTGAATAATTGTATGAAAGTGTTTTAAGTTGGTATGAAATTTGAAATGTTATTGTTTATATAAGTTTTGTCAATTATGTATAAACTTGTGTGAAAGGAATGAACTATTTGGTATGAGAAATGTATAAAATTTTGGTATAAATGATGATTGTATGTATGAAATTTGTATTAAGTGGGTATGAAATCTGAAATTTTATTTTTTAATGAAATATGTTTGTAGTTTACTGTCTGAATGATTTTTGTATGAAAAAATAATGATAAGTGTGTATAATTTTTTATTTTTTTTGTATTATGTAAGACTAATTGTATTTTTTTTTAATGAAACAGGGGAAATATGTTGATTTTCAAATGGAGGGGATTATATATGAGTATTCTAGTCTTTATAGTGGTCTAGTAAGTGCGATAACATCGCAGCTAATGATAGATGCTAATATTCACAATATAGAGATAAAATATTTAGTTAGTGATAGATGTCCCCCTGTTAGTATCCACAATGATGTTGGTGTGCGGGTTTTTCTAGAAATATATGTCCATTGAGACTATCTTTAGCTATCAAGTGTATGGATCTTACTTTCATTGCACTGTATCTTTACTTAAGTCGGTATTAATAAGAGTATTTATAGGTCTTTTGAGACATTTTCCTTCATTTGATTGTAGTTATACCCTCTTCTTTTTTAACATTTTCACTTACCATAATTTCACATTTACGAATTGATATATCTGTAGATCAAGATAAAACATGTACAAAACATCTTGCATGTTATTTGGATCTTCTGATAGATATTAGTCTTTTTTTTTTATCTTATTTATTTGGGCTATGATTATACATCCATCTTAATATTCACATTTCCGGAACACAAAAATTTTGTGGGTATGTTGAACTTAAATAGCAATTCAATATAATATTCACTATCATATAACATTAACGGTGTTATAATTATTTTATAAAACTTATCTTTTACTTTGATATACATTCTTTTATCACATCATACTCAGCTAGCAATTCTTCAATTTAACCAACCAATTTATAATCCTACGAGACTATGACTAACATATTTACCTAATTAGCCTATATACATCTATTTGCAATTTGGCACTACAATCTCGTTTCGTGTTGCCACATTTGAGAAATATGACTTATGAGAAATTTCAACAAAAGATGCAGTTGATCTAATAGTCAAAGAATCCAGCTAATTAATAACAAAAGTCTTTGTAACGCATTCTTATCTTCGGTATAACGTAAAATGCACACATAATATATATAATAAATGATTTTTTCAAATGTACACATTGTACTCCTTATTACAAATTGTCTGCTATTATTTATTACTATAAGAATATATTGAGTGTAATGATACACCTTATTGTTCTTGATGAGCTTACATTTATTCAAGTAGTATACAAGAGATATTTATTACAAGTCATAATAAGAAGCTGCTAAGCAAAGGGGAATTTTCTTGTGCATAGTAATCCCCAAAGCTTCTTCCATATCAAGATCCTTAGCTTTCAGCCCTTGAGGTAGTGTCCAATCATAATGAAATAATAAATTAGCAATTGCAAGCTCAACAAGTGGTACAGAAAAATTAATTCCTGGACACCCTCTTCTCCCTGCCCCAAATGGCAAAAACTCATAATTTTGACCTCTATAATCAATATCCTTATTCAAGAATCTCTCTGGTATAAACGTCAATGGATTTTCCCAGTATTTTGGATCGGTCCCAATTGCTGTCGCGTTGATGAGGACTCTTGTATTTTCTGGGATTTCGTAGTCCATTATTTTGCAACTAGATGTTGTTACTCGAGGGATTAGTAATGGGGCTGGTGGATGAAGTCTAAGGGATTCTTTTATGACCAATTTCATGTATTCAAGTTTGTAAAGATCAGTTTCTTGGACCTTTTGTTTTCCCTTAGCAACTTGTCTCACTTCTTGTTGAACTTTTTTCATGACTTTTGGATTTAACATAAGTTCTGCCATGATCCATTCTATGGTTGTTGCTGATGTATCAGTTCCTGCTATGAATATATCCTGTTTGTGCATAACAATATTCAGTTTGAGGCATGTAATACACTGTTCTAAGGATATTTTGCTCGCATAATAAATATAAGTGTATACGTCAGGATGTAACAAATTAATCCAACTATGAATTAAGAGAAGAAACAACATAACTTTAAAAGATAAAAAACTGACCAAATTAAAGAGATAGAAGAATTTAGAGAATCTGTATATTGTTCTTCCATAATGTCATGTATATATATAGGTAAATGTTAAAACAGCTAGTTTATAAACTACTATTAAGTTCCATATTAGCTAGTTTGACAAATTAATTAATATAACTTTGGTTAATTTTGACTTTTGATCAAATTAATATTGTTCTAGCTAGTTTGACAAAGTTGTAATGAGTCCGGAGCCTAAAAGGCAAAAAAAAATGTCAAAAATTCTAAAAGGGCACATCACTTTTTATTCTAGCCAAAAGGGCAAAATCGCTGCGTCAGCAGCGATTTTCCTCTGACAAAATGACGAAATAGCAGTGATTTCGACTAAAAATTTTATTTTATTTTTTTTAATTAAAAATCGCTGCCACAGCAGCGATTTTGTAAAAAAAAAAAATAAAAA